TTTGAACCATACAATGTATTTTTGGCTATTGCTACAAATATACCCCAGCGAATTATGACTGGTTTTGTGGTCCATGGTCACATATATGAATTGCAATGCAATGTGAGAAGGCGAAAACAAGCTTCTGTTATATGATAGTGATACCAAAATTATACACCTCACCTTTAACAAGCTTCTTTTTGTCAAATGTTTTGCTTGAAAAGTGCTTTGGCTATCTTTCTTTGAAATGAATGTCACATGGTTTGATTTTTTTGTCAACAATGAACCATTCCAAAATGTGTCCAAATTTGCAAAAACCAAACAAACAGGCACGACGTCAGACCTAAAATAATGTAAATATTGTACTTGATCACTTTAAAAAAAAAAAAAAGAATCATGATCATCCACATCAAGTTAATGTGATTTGAGATCTATTTTGCCTGCACGCCGTGAACTTTTAGCTTAGAGCTGCACTTTTTCAGCAGGCCATTAAATGTAAAATTCAAGGGCATGGTGACCCATTTCCCTCCATCAGCTCTGCGAATGTTGTTTTGGTTAGAGAACAGAGATCCAGATGTTGAGCTCTGAGCGCTGAGAGTCAGGCCAGCCAAGAGTGGCTGAGAACCGAGTCTCGGGGGTACAGGAAGTCCCACGGTATCCACGGGAACTTTCGCATTCCATTCTTCGCCGGCCCTCTGACAGCTTCTGACATCCCTCAGCATGGGCTCACCGCATCACCACAAGCCCTCGTGATCCCAGAGTGGATAGAGAACTACTTCCTCTGAGATGGGAAGATGAAACATCCTAAAAGCCGACGGCAGAGTGTTCAAGTAACTTCTGGTGGTGCGTTACAGAAAACACACACCCGTTCTTGCACCCCTCCTGCGCCAGAGGATCTAGCATCACAGATATAATAGGCAGCTGGTAAGTGGAGATGTTTGAAACGACCCGACAGGAAAGGATTTCGATTGACGTGCTACTGTCCGTGTGCTACCGTGTAAAACCAGTACACAGCTCCCTTTGAATAAAAATAAAACTGTTTCTCCTAATGCTAATTTTAGGGATAGGCTACTTATCCGAGGCTTTTTTGGCACCCTGCACATAAACAGAAGTGAGATGGGAGGGTCTGGAATAAAATGAGACGTGAACAATAGACGTCCAGGGCTGCAGGGGTTGGAGTGGAGGAAGGTGGGGGTGGAGGGCCTGGACTGAAAGTGATTAAACCAAGAGGAAGAAAGGAGAAAGTGAGGAGGCGTCTATTAGATGTCAGTGTGCTTTGTGTCCATGTCAATGAGACGGGATTAAAGTATTGGAAATAATCTTACAGAGCCGATGAAAGGTCAGTCCGGGAGAGGTAGAGGCCGAGAGGAACATATGGCCCAGCTGAGGAGTCGCTAATGTTATACAGCATGTTAGAGACACTAACACACACACACACACACACACACACACACACACACATGAATGCGCGAGGGACCAGTTCAAATAAAACAAATAAAGAGATCCAGATAAATAAGTATGAAAGGAATCGTTTTACATGTGGTGTAAATCGAAGCGGCCAGTGGAGTTCATTACGAATTCTGTGAGCGGTTATGATTTGTGGTATCCCCCCTGCCAGTGCGAATAAATCGAAAGGACAAAAAACAACCTGCAGTTGGACGATTCGGTCAAATATGTTTGTCAATAAATGGCGAGCGTGGATATTGTTTGTTTACAGATGTTGTTTACAATCCAAATCTGAGTAAATATGAAATTAGTTGTTTTAACAGCATAATAAGGGTTCATTAGTGTTTTTAACGCAGATTTGGATTAGCTGTGTTCTTTGTGTATTTAATTAGAGCATCACTCTCAATGCAAAACCAGCAGAATTAGCCATAGCCAGACTAATTACTGGTGTGAAATCAAATCGGCTCGTTGAAAGAAGTGCGCGCTAATGAGCCCTTATTAACCAAGCTAAATAACTCAGAGGGAAAAGGCGGAACTGGGATTTATTTTTCTTTAGGTTACACGTTTAGGAGAAATAATAAGTCATAATCGAGACGCTGTCATTGAGCTTGTGAGAAAGTATGTAGCTGCCAAGAATACATACCAAAATTAGGTTGTTTTCTTCTTTTTACACCTTTTTATTTTTTTATTATTTTTTTTTTCTTTCCTGCATGACCCAATTTCTCTGGGCTGCAGCAACACGCGACGAGAGATCAGGAGTGACACAATCAGATCAGATCACAACATCTAAACACTCTCACCTTTATGAAAAAAAAAATTGTATGCAAATAAATATATGTGGGAGGATTATTAAGTAGGATTGAGGGGGAAATTGCAGCACAAATGCATTGCAATTCTGCATCAGTGCAGAAAAAAAACATTCAGAATTTTAAATGAACTTGAAATAATTTTAGTTAAAAACGAACAAATACACAGGACAAAAATCACAGATATAAAGAAAATTCTGCAACAACTGTTACACTAAATTGAAACATTTTGCCATCTTCATGCTAAAATGATAGCACAGAGATTGCATATATGCCATGTCAAGGCACATTTACACACTTTCTAATATAGAACAGAGGTCTTAAAAATGCATTTAGATAGAAATTCGAAGTGTGCTACAGGGCCTGTACAAACCACCTGTAGAAACACACTCTCCTCTATGCGCTAGACACTTTTCACACACACTGCTTTGTGTACATAATCCCACAAAAGACTCCGTAATATGTGTGTTTACATGCTCATGCACTACAAATCATCTGCACTGTTCCCCAGCCAGCTGCTTGACTTACGATGTTTCTCTTTGCACATGTACAGTATTATGTGAAGCATCCGTATAGTCTGTATTTTTTTTAAATTTATGTATAGGTAAACATTTATATATAGTATATTCATAGTCAAAATCTGTCAGTAGGTTAGTTGTGTATAGGTACAGTGTTTTTGTGAAGCATTCGTATAGTTTGTATTTTTTTAAATTTATGTATAGGTAAACATTTATATATATGAGGCACGACATTTCATTCCACTGTATGTCACCACATGTAAAACTTGAAATTAAAATTGCACGACAATACAAATACTATATGCACAAAAAACGATAATATATGTTGGTCTGAACATACAGCTTTTATGCATTGAGAACTATTATGATTCCCTAAAACAAAACTGAAAGATGAGGTGCCTGAAGATTCCCATCTATAGTGGAAATGTAGTAGTTTTATTTTTTGATGGCCTTGAAGTTGCCAAGACCTTCAAGTGGGCCTTTTCACTGCACATGGGACCAATGCACATGAGATCCTCCAGCAGGTTCATCAGCCTGTGTTCATATCGAGCCTGTGTGCTCAGTGGGGTTTAAAGGCATATGAGCATGTATAAGGGAGCCACAGCTGGCTCCCAAGAGTTCTGACCCATTCTGGTCAAGTGAAGCATAAACTGTGTCGGCTACCCACAAACACGTGAGCCAGGTATGAAGGGGGGCGGCAGATCTGTTGTGTCCAAGCGTGGTCGGCTGAGCAGCTCCAGTCACACCTGAGTCCATTCTGCATGAACGGGTCAGTGGCTGAAACCGAACAGCCACAATTGTCCAGCTCTTTACTTACTGCTGTCTAAAACTTAAGTAAACAAGCAAAGCAGAACTGGGAGAGCCGATAGTGGGAAACATTTTGTTGCTTTTTTTCTTCTCAGTGGAATTTAATTTTTACAAATGAGCCTGAATGGTCTTTTGACAAATGTCACAAATCAACCTAGTCTGGTCATCTGCACACAATAACTCTTACACATCATTCCATGTGGTTTAAATCAAGTCATTTTTCCCATTTGGCAATAGATTCTGACTGAGATATACCCTTGATTTGTGGCCTTTCCCAGTGTTATTATGGAAAAAAGGTGTCTTGGGAAGTTGGGAAGCTGCATATATTCCGGCAAAGGCCATTTCAGCGAGACCAAATGAAATGTGATTCAGTGCTGATTTTCTTCAAATAGGCTAAGCAGCTCTTGATATGTTCACCTCGTGTGCCTACATATTGTCTCAAAGGAACGTTTAGCAATTTTCAGTGAGCGTAGCAGTTGCTAACCATTTTGCTGCAACAATGGGAAAAATATTATTTTGTTCAATCCATGAGAACCATGACCTGTCAAAATAAATGCCCTTAAACGTCGGCTAAAAGCTTCCACATTACATAACACATAACTGCGCACAGCTAGCCTGAAGCTAACAGCATTAACGGGAATGAAAACACTACCTCAAGGACTGTGAAATATTTAGTGTTGCTAAGAATCCTATTAGCCTTAATGCTAACATTATTACAACTACAATTACATCATTCAAAAAAGGATGCAGGGGTTTAATTTTGGATTTAAAGAGACGAATGTTAGGTGAAAGAAAGCAATGCCCCGGGGGATCGAGAGAGATGGCGAGAACAGGGTAGCTAGGCTGAGGGGGGGGCCCAAGGGTCTTTGGCGTCTATTGTTTCACAGCCCATTATGCATGTGGGATTGATTAAGACAGAATAAAAAACCAAGAACACTGTCTTTTTTACTTCTGAAGGGGGAACCATAATCCAGAACTGGGCCAGATCTCAAATTGAAATACATACCATGTAGATATTATCTAAATTGCTTACATGTTTACTGTCAAACATGTTCTCAAGAGAAATTAGTCACTACACTCTTTTAACGCAAACACTAGCCTTTGACTCATGCCTTTAGGCCTGTAATTTACTCAGGCAAAGACAGCAATAAAAAGCACATTAATATCAAGTGTTTGGGCTCAACCAATCCTGATCCCACAACAAAAAGAACATGGTGGAAAAGTAGCAGCAAAAGAAACAACATGACAGAGCATTTAACTAACAAGTGACTCAAACGTACACACACAACAGACCGTGGTGGCCGTAAGACTCCAGCGTGTCCTGAGAACTACTTCAAAAGCGACGTCAACCACAGCCTCAAACAGCATATGATGATAACAATGTAAGTATCAGATGTTTTCAGGCACACAAACAGGAAGTGTTAATGAGGGAGAGATTTCCTACTTGTCGATGATGACGGGATCGGAGGGTGTCTCGTTGCGGTTCCCGCAACTCTTTTTGTCACAGCAACGACTGAAAGAAAGAAGAGATCAGTTTAAATCAGATATCCTATGTCTTAAGTCAAATCGAAACCATTTTTTCTGGACTTTTTTGTCCAAAGGAAATGTTATTTTAGCAAGTCATATTTTTCACGTCTTTGTTTTTTGTCCATTAAGGTTTATGCACATTGCTATTGTATAACACTTTGATAAAGAAACATACTCAACGCTAGAACCTCAATGTAAATGCTTAGATAGATAGCATTTCATTTAACTGGATGGTGACAAGTAGTCAATATAAGTCAGATAGTTAAAGGGGAGGGGTTTAAAAGAGGGCTCGGTGACATCACTCAAAAAGGAAAGTCATTTCAGAGGCTTAAAATTTGATAAACGAATTACCTTTTTTTCCTTCTGATTAATTTTAACCGATTAAGCGCTAAAACATGTTTAAAGTAATTGAGGTCCATTTTTTGATTTCTGGTTGACGTAAAACTTAGTTCAAACTCTATCGCCCCCTTGAGTATTGGAGTTTGTTACCGCCACATTAAAACATTCAGTGGGACTGCTAGACCTTCATCGCATTTGCATAGGTGATGAAGGTTTAGCAGAATGACGAGAGGAGAATTTAAGGTGTGAGAGGGGCTTCAGCGGCAGTTTGGAGACCATCGGCATCACATTTCTACCACACAGATGGCAGTAGGACACTGAATAAGGGCTGGGGACAAAACTGTCACATGACACCCCTGGCATTGTCCTTCCCCCTTCAGTTTTTCTTCCTCCCACAACTCTCTCTGCTTCCACCCTCCCACCTCACGGTTTCTCTTGTTACCTCATTCCCAGCTCCCTATTTTCTCCAATGACACAGTTTTTAGACGTATCAATAGACTTTATCATTCATTCACGGACTACAAGAGTTCAGATCGTATCATGAGATGTACCATGCTTATTCATGAGGAACCATGTGTATGTGATTTATATAATACACTTCTTCAGGTATGCATGATGAATGTCTTTCTTCAGAAACTCATCATGAATAGAAGGCTAAAATCTCTCTCTCTCTATCTACATCTACATCTCTATCTCTCTCGCCCCTCCTTCTGCAAGGCTTCCTCAACTAGGTCAGTGTCCTCCCAAAGGACTGGAACAAGGGATTGCAGTGCCTCTGTGTGTGTGTGTATTTATACAGTGCAGGAAGAAGATTTGTAGGAGCCTAATGATCAAATCCGGCAGCGCCCATGGGAGACATGGTTTAGCTCCTGATACACAAAACCTTGAGCATTCAAATTTATAGATACACATTCAAAACAATTATAAAGAAATATTGTTAACTACATTTTTTTTAATGCAAAACTCGCCGGCACGATGCAAGAGTGTTGTGGGTGGTTGAGATTGCATTGTTATATAGTTTTGTGTGGTTAATGGGTCAGTGTTGGGTCAATATTCATGTTGGTCTTATATGGTTTTGAAAATGTTTACACACTGCAAAAAAAGTTGCTACATTTAGATTTAACAACTTAAAACTTACTGCTTTTGTTGAGATATCCAACCTAACTAAACTAAACTCATAATTGTAAGTCAAGCATGAACACTTTTAGTTGAAACAACACATTATTACTTATTCTAATGTTGAATTTTAAGTTGCGATAACTAATCGCAGCAATCAATTTTACAGTGCACCATTGTCAACAAAGGTTTAAATATCATGACTATAAAAATGTTGTGTGATATAACCATCAAGTAAAAAGTAATAACATATTTTCCGTAAACCATTCATGCAAGTATGTGTACACACCTTTCAAAAATATATATATAACTGAATATTTGAATAATACGGAGCCCCGCACATCACATGCAAGAAAAAATAAATAAACCATGCGCAATATTTACTAATTCGTTCCCTTGATGTACTAAAACGTGCACACGATTATGCACTATTTAGCAAATCGAGGGAACGAATTAGTAAATCGTGCGCACAATTTAGCCTACTATTTTTTTCCTGCATGCCATGTGCGGGGCTCCATAGAATAAAAAAATAGATTTGGACAAAAAAAAAAACTGTTACATCATGTACGTGGTTGCTATCAAATATAAGTTATTTGAGGTCAGTAGCACAAAAAGTTTTTGTATTTGAATAAACCCTTAACACCAAGTATGAAAAATAATAAACGCTTGCCTTAGCAAATAAAACTACAGTCATTATAACACGCCTATATTAGCTTATTGGGAGGTTGGGAAGGTTATAATCTTTTTCCTGATCCTCTTCAAGATCGTCCCGTAGGACACCCAAAGGAAATCACATCTTAGATGTTAACACTTCCTTCCTGATACGGCTTTTGAAGAAATGTCTAAATGGGCTCATGTAATTAGCAGGATGTAGTCGGCTCTGTCAACGTTGTAACGTGTCTACCATCACACGCCTCGAACATATGTTTCCTTTCCATGATTCCTTTGATTCATGACACTGGATTTGTGTTATGACAACTTCAGTCTTTCGAAGAACAATTTTGGCCACTTTCACGACAAACAACATCCTGAAACACATTCCCTGTTTTTTTTTCTAGTTTGTTAAAATTATAGGAATAAGCACTTTTGTCCCACACTTGCAAGCTGGCATGGTACCATATGGCTAATGGTGGTGTGTGGCAATTAGTGGAGCTGATTAATGGTGAACAGCCTAATTTTCTGCTTATAATTGCGGCAGCGTTTGAAGGTACACATACAGGCTATCGCACACACAAATTGGTTTGCGTATGCATTAGCTGTCAGTCCTTACAGTAAAAAAAAAATCTGGTTCTTTTTTATGCAAAAGTGCCTATACAACATCTTTAAGTTGCGTGATACGTTGCTGGTAAAACCTGGCATATATTTCACGGACACCACGTGAGCCAGGGCACATTTGTCAGCAGAGCACACTGAAATTTCAGATTGAGTAATGAGTTTCTGCTTGTCCTAATTAACCAGGCATCAGGGTGATATTCATGGGGGGTTACAAGGGTGGGCGGCACTGTTAAAACACCACTAAAAATAGGCACGAGTCGATCATCACAACCTACTTTTAAGCAAATTCATCTTTGGGTGTTAATTAAATACATAGCATTTGATAGAAAAAGTCATCTTCTACTTGTTTTTTTTTTCTCCCTTCTCTCTCTGTTGTTCACTAGGGGTTTGTGAGTTTGACCTGGATAGTATTAGCATGAATTGAAACAGAATATAGCACTAGAGTGTACTGGATAGTTTCCTAACCAGGCAACAGAATAAAGTGACAAGCAACAGGACATTTTGATGGTCACGCCCCCACCTACAGCAAAATCTCATTGGTACAACATACCTGAATATAAAATATCCCAAGAAATCAAAATCTAAAGCTGCTTCCGAAATCGCATGTGAATCCGAAATCTACTTTATAAATGTTAAAAAAGAATGTTCTACATGTCATGAACATCTGTAGTATGAATGAAATCCAGATGCACTACCTCCGCCTTGTTGTCACTGTCATGTGACTTAAAGCGCCAGTTGTGTCTCTTCACTGTCATTCACAACTCCTCTCCTGTGGCCTCATGGGATAGTAAAGAGTCCATCAGATGCTTACTTCAGAATCTCAGCTGAAATTTCCAGGTACTTTTTGCCAGTTTTATGAGTACTGTGAATTTGGACATACTACTCTTTCCATGTACTGTTTTTAGCATACTATATAGTAGGGAAGTATAAGTATTATCTAGCGTAGCGTTAGTTCTGGCAGGTCACGTTAGTCAAGCTCGCATCAGCTGACTCTCAGCTGATCCCCATCAACCTATGGGAATACGACACCTATCGAAGCATTCATATATAAGGTCCCTCAGTATTATCAGCAGTTTTCGCATTGCTCAATAGCTAATTACCCTCCTCCATCCCCAACTCCTCCTCTGTCAGTCAGGATTCAGCCTTCTGATTCTCCTTTGAATCAGACTAATTCTAAAATGTGTACATAACATTATTGAACTTTAACGATATCTGCAATACGTTTATGTTGGTTCTGTTCTGTTTACCCTGCGGGGTTATCGCTGCTCTCCCTGCTCTCATCCATGCTAGGCTGCATGGATGCGCAGGGAGTTCTTGCCCAGAACAGAACCATACCGCCAATCCAAACTGTATGCTAATTGTCAATCATCTTTGACGATACTGGTCCTGACAGAAATATACTATAAGTATTATAGTATTAGCTTTGAGGCTTGCTATATGCTAGTGTACTACCAAATGTTGACTTAAAAGTTTATGTTTAAACACTTAAACAAAAAACGAATGAGTTAATATTAATGATTTGAATGATCTTGTTTGCAGGATTATATCATCTATGTCCAATAAAATGCTCTCTAGAGTGAGATTGTCCCTGTCCGCTAATACCACCTGTGCCTGACTAGCATTAGCACACAGCAAATTATGGTTTTCCAGTGTCATGAACAATTCGGTCCGCCCATTGAGTTGACTCTGCCTAGGACCCCTGGGGGTAGTAGTTTGTAATGCCTAATCAAAAAATAATATGTATAAAAATCAGCTAGAAGGATGCTAATACACTATTAGTTTGCAAAACATAAGCTAAGCAAAACAGAGAGAAAGAATGAGAAATGTTTAATTTAATAATGTATATATTTGCTGTTATACTAATACATAAAATAGAATTGAAAACACATTAATGGTCACAATAACATAGCTCAGATGGCATAGGTCATGATGCAGTTTCTGTAGGATTTTTAATAAGGCACTGAATAGACTACCAATTAAAAACTCTTTCAGCCAGTGGAATGGACTGAATTGTTATTTAAAATGTAAAACTTTAAAGTGTTTGTCATATAGTTTGATGGGGTTTTTAAATATCAAATATGTTCTGATTTTCTATGATTGTGCCGTGTCACGCAGCATTTTCAGCACCTGCTTAGGACAAAGTATAATGGAAAAAGTCTCACCTGCACATAATTTCATGAGTCAGGAGCACACGGCACATCTCCGGGTTCTTGTCTTGACCTTCATATATGATGGGCTTTGAACAGAGAGGGGGGAAAAGTCAGTGTTTGGATTCAAACAGTCTTTATTTAACACAAGAATTAATCTTTTGGGCAATCAAAATTAAATGAAGCACATTGCATATGAAGCTGTATATATAAATATATTAGCTATAAAGCTGTATATAAGCTGTATACATAAATATATATTTTAGGAAGCTGACATTGACCACAAAACATCCCAAAAATAAAAATACAATTTACACTTATCCACCCTCACATTCAGCTATGGATTCACAGAAGCCCATTCCACTTGAGAAACATGCTGCGAGGAGGCGTAATTCTGCCTTTAAAGCCTGTTGGCCTGATCTATTTAATAAATATGAGCATGTGTCACGGGGAATCGTCTAAGCTGTTCCAATATTTCTGGACAGGCTGTCCAGAGCTCTGGCTCCACACAGGACTGTGGCTCATTACTTAAAGGAAAACAGAAGGTGAGAAATGAAGGTGTTCCAATAAGAAGGGCTCATTGTTTCACTTCTAGCTCAGGTAATTACTCTCCCTACAGGACATGGGGCTGAGGTGGGGTAACATGTGGGAGAGGGATGTACAATAGCACCAGCTCCGAACGGTTTGAGGGATGGATAACAGCCGAAGAACACCTGTTGTAGGTGGAGGAGATGATACGAAACATAACTGGTTGCTCAGATTCTAACAAGCAGGGAGATAATAACAGTTAGGGCTGCATGATAAATCGAAATGGAATCGAGATCGCGATTCGACAGAAGCTGCGATTGTCATGCATATCTTTCAGTGAAGCACGGTTCTGTGATCAGCAGTAAATCTCCATCCGAAGGCCAGAGGGCGCTCTCGC